GGGCCGGCCGCCGGCACTGCCGGAGGCAGGGAGGTCTGCCGAGCGGGAGGAGAAGCTGTCTGTGCTGACGGATGAGAGCCCAACCAGCGCCAACCCCACCTGCGCCAGCAGCCGCCCCGCTGAGCTGCTCCCCATCGAGCTGGACGAGATGGTGGGCAAAGGGCAGTTCGCAGAGGTGTGGAGGGCCAAGCTGAGCCACAGCCGCTCGGGGCATGACGAGACGGTGGCCGTGAAGATCTTCCCCTGCGAGGAGTACTCCTCCTGGAAGAACGAGAGCCAGATCTTCACCGACACCAGCCTCAAGCACGACAGTGTCCTGCGGTTCCTCACCGCTGAGGACCGCGGCACGGGGCCCCGCCGGGAGTACTGGCTCATCACCGCTTACCACAGCCGGGGCAACCTCAGGGACTACCTCTCCCGCCACATCCTGAGCTGGATGGACCTGCAGAAGATGGCAGGCTCCCTGGTGAGCGGGGTGGCCCACCTCCACAGCGACTACACCGCCTGTGGCAGGCCGAAAATCCCCATCGCCCACAGGGACATCAAAAGCACAAACGTGCTGGTGAAGAACGAGCAGGAGTGCGTGCTCTGCGACTTCGGCATCGCCATACGCCTTGACCCTTCCCTGACGGTGGATGACTTTGCCAACAGCGGGCAGGCAAGTACGGTCCCCTGGAGGAGACCCTTTGCAAAGTACCCCTGGTCACCCTGTGGCCGAAGTCCTTGCCCACCCCTCCTAATGCCTCTCTCCTCTTTACGGGCAGGTGGGCACCGCCAGGTACATGGCCCCGGAGGTCCTGGAGTCCAGGGTGAACCTGGAAGACTTGGAGTCCTTCAAGCAGATGGATGTCTACTCCATGGCCCTTGTTCTGTGGGAAATGGCCTCCAGATGTGAAGTGGTAGGAGGTAGGAGCATCACACTGGGGTTTCCACGCACCTTTTTGCTCCCTTCCTCCTCATACAGGGATGTGGCTCACTCCCACATCCCTGCCAATGGCATAGGACCTGGTTTGGGATGGCTCAGGTCTCTGCAGGGCTTCTAAGAGCTGACGGCAGATCCTCCCCCATAGCTGCCTTCCCTGTGTGCCGTGGCTCCAGGCAGCCAGCTCAGTGGCCAAGGAACAGGATGGGACCCCAGGGGGTCATCTGGTCCAGCCCCTGGCTCAGAGCTGGCCATCCACCAAGTGACATCTGAGCCAGTGCCGGCAATGCAAACCAAACCAAGCAGGAGGAGCCAAAGGTGCCTCCCCCTCCCCAGCCACAAGCACTTTTCTTTCACACAGTGCAAGAGTTTATGTTGCAACAGGGACTCACAACCCCCAATCTCTGACAGAGCCACAGAATTTGTGTCTGAAATCACATGTAGCAAAACATTTAACTAACTGCCCTGCTGTTAGCCCCCACCTGCCCTTCTGCCTGCTCCCCTCTTTCCTTTTTAGCTCTCGTCAGTTCCTTTCCTACCCCATCTACTCGGAATACAGGCCCACGGAGCTGCAAGAAGCTGCAGACCCTGGGAAGAAAGCTGTCCCAACTGCCCTGCAAGCCCCACGCTTTGCAGTGAGAGACCCTTGCCTGGCTCAGATACCCTGTGCATCCTTTGCTCCTCAGCCAGCATCCCAGGCCATCCCTCTTATTTTACCTGCATTTGCAGCATGGCAGGGGCTGGCAGAAACCAGGGTGGCCTCTCATGTCTGCAACAGGGAGTTTCTCCATGGCCTCCCAAGACATGGGGTTGCTCTTCTGGAAGGGCCATTTCTCCTCTAGCTTGATAAAAGGCCCACCGCAGGAATCCAGATGCTGGTACCGTAGTCACCTCTCCCATCTTTCACCAGCACATTTCTCCTGCTCAAAATATGTCTCACCCAAAGACAGACCAAGTCCTTTGTAGTGCGACTCTTGGGCTCAGGAAGGTGGTCAGATGCTTCCTCGATCCTGTACCTGAAAACAAACTCCACATGAAAACCCAGCACTATGTTTCTATGTTCAAATTCTAAATTGTTTCCAGATCTGTTTATTTTTGCAGACTGATAAAACCAAATTTATTCTCATCCGGTCACCCTACCAAAGCAAAGCAGTGAATCCATTAAAAACATCCTGTAACGTGGATGTTGCTTCCTTGCAGAGGTAAAGAATTATGAGCTGCCTTTTGGGTCAAAAGTCCAGGAGCAGCCCTGCGTGGACACCATGAGGGACATCGTGCTGCATGGCAGAGGGCGACCCGAGATCCCAAGCAGCTGGCTGGTGCATCAGGTAAGCTGGGACTAGCTGGTTCAGGAAAGAGCAGCCCACATTGTCCCACCTCAGTAAACCAGCCTGAAAAACGATTAAAGTTGTAACCAAAGCAAAGGTGGCCAAAACTCCTGGGCCCCACTTCCAGCTCCATTTTGGCTTGCCTACATAAGCCCTACTAGACCCATTTCCCTGGGGTATAAAAGACACCAGCCACGGGTACAGCAAAATTTACTGATCAATAGCATGATCAGGAAGTGTTATGAATGCCAAGTAATGTTATTCAGTTATCTTGAAAAGAACAGCAAAATGGAGCTCTTTGGTGAAGGCTCTTCTCATGACAGAGTGAATCACTTCCATCTACCCCACTTCTCCCCTAAGAACCGTATCCAGAAAGCTCTAGCTCAGAAATCATGCAGTCCCTTCACACACAGCCATTTCCCAGCAGGGACAGAGTGGAAGAAGGGGCATCCAGCCTTCTGCCTGCTTGTGCTTGACTGGGGAGGTTTCAAGCTCAAGCTCATATGAGGTTGTGACTTGGCATGTGAGAAGAAGAAAGACTTCCACTTCTACAAGGAAAGGCAAAATAGGAAGCATCTCTCTCGAGTGAAATAACCAGGAAACACATACAAAGCTAAGAGCAGGGAACCTGCTAGGCTCAAGTCTTGCCAAGAGGAAGTCTTTCACCAGCCTCCAGAAGCTCTGAAAGCAAAGTGTTTCAGCACAGAAAGCATAATCCAGTGCTCTAGAGCAAAAATACTTCAGCAACGAGATGGGCTCTGGTAAAACCATCCACAAGCACACCCAGACCAACCAGCTCCAGAAACATAGCTACCTCCTGGCTCTCTTCCCCAGGTCCGGTACTTTCTTCCAACCGTTTGGGACACAGGGGTAACAGGCACACTGACCACGATTTTCAAATCTTCCCGACTTTGGTACTTCTTAAATTTCATGTCTTGTGGAAATACACCATCCACTAATTATCAATTCAGTCCATCTGAAAAACAAGCTGAAACACTGAGCCTGCTGGCTCACAGAGCCTTGCAGCATTCAGTGCTTCATTTTGCGGTATCCACCCGTAGAACAGGCTGCTGCTGCTGCTTCCACTCCGCCTGGCATTTCAAAAGGAAACATATAACTTCATGATCATAGGAGGCCATGTGTTCCCTACAATACCTCCTCTCAAAACTGTGTTTGTCCCACAGCTGACCTGACTGACTAAAGCTGCAAACAGTATCAAATGCATCTGAGGTTTCTGCTGGGCCACCGGTGAGTTTATCAGTCAGCGAGTCCATTTCTGAAGTTCACTTGACCTTTTCCATTGATGAAGGCAAATACAGGAACTTCAATCAGCACTGCTACATGTTTGAGGCCTTTCACCTCCCAAGACCTCTGATAAACTTTGAAACCACAGGGAAAATATAGGGCCTGGGTTGTCAAAACTCACATTCTGATAGTGCCTGACCATAACTGCACCATTTGTTGAGCTGAAGAAAGGCTGACTGCAACCACCTCTGAGAAATAATGTTGCTGTAGTTGGCTTGGTGTAGCACATAAACAGAGCAAGGCTTTAAGGTACTAACTTTCATTAGACCACCCGATGTTCACTGGGGAAGAGGAACAGAAAAGCCACATTGTGTTCCTGAAAACTTGCCTCTGACTAATCTTGGGTGATCTAACAAATATCTCCTTACAACCCTGTCTTTATGAAGTTTTCCGGGCATTTTGCAACCAGTCTCCCCAGGATCAGGCATGGGGCAGCACCATCTGCTGGGAAGCAGCAGAAAGCACCGGTTTGTGCCACTCCTGGGGTCAATGACTTCATGTGGGAGGGAGCATTGGGTGACACCAAGAAAGGGTGACAAATTGCTCACCTGAACAGGAAGCTCCCATAGATGTTCACACCAACAAAAATAAGTTTGATGCAGAGCTCCAAACACTAGCTCCACATTTCAACCACCAGGATCACTCTCAACCAGATGAGGACCTACATTGTTGGCCATGGTTTAAGATTTTCAGCAATCATAAGCATTAATCCCCGGACAGAGCTGACTCTCCCATCAGCAGCTCCAGGGCAACTGTGTGCAAGGCTGCACAATAAAACCAACTGAAGAAATGTACCTCCAAAGCTCCCCCAGATAACCTACGAACACCTTAAGCCCACGCTTCTACCTCACTTCCCACCCCACCCCACTGAAATAAAAAAACCAAAAAGTGGTTATTTAGGCCAGGTTAAGTTCCTGGATCTGGTTCATGAAACAGCTGAATAGACTCTTGTACTGGCACAACCTAAGGGCTGCTGCAGGACAAGAAGGAGCAGTGGGAGCTTAAGTCAATATTGCCACTAAAAATACACTTGTAAAACCCAGCATTCTTTGGAATGTTGGAAAATCTGAGATATCAAATATAAAATTCAAACCAAGTCCTTTTTGTGAGCAGATCAAGATGTCCCAGTTGTACCATTCAAAAGAGCATTGTTGCTACTTACAAGGTAAACTGGAAATAAATGTCATGATTTCTGGGCAAAATAAGCAGAGGAAATCTAATGACTAAACCATATGACAGTGCCATGTTCTGTTTGAGAAAAGGCTTATTTTAAAAGCTTCAGCTGATCTAGCTCATTTTTGCATGTTAATCAATTATCCTCAAATCCTTCCAACTAAGCTAATAAAAGAGTGACGCAAGATGTACTGAAACACACCATCTGTCAGTTTTACTGCATAATCCTGTTCTCCCTAATCCATGTCCATCATGGCAGACTTAGTACAGTGACCCTCAGCAGAAAGCAGCGAGTTCAGAGTAAAGTGCAGAAGGACAGGTGAGACCAACAGTACATCTCTGTAGGACTTGCATTTTTCTCTTGTGTTGGTCCACATGGGACTTTTAGGTTGTCTTAATTGCAAATGAAGAAATACACAAAAACCACTGAATACCTTGAAGCTTTGTTTAGAATAATGATTTTACCATTGTGTTGCAAACCTGGTTGACAATGATGCAAAAAGCAGTGGCACATGGTAGGAATTATATAGGCAAAGGAAGGTTCAGCATAGCAGTGTTTGTAAGAGTGGGAAAATAACATCTGAATATTGCCATTTTGCTTCTAAGCCCAAAATATTGGCACTCCCTTCAAAGAACAACACAGTTGAAAGAAAGTATATTACTGGAAGACATAACCATTGTAACTGAGAGGAACTGAATGTGTTCTGGAGCATACTGAGAAGTATCCAATCCCACCTAAACCAAGACACTATTTGTGGTGAAAAATCCAAAGTTCAGCTGCACACTGCAATGAGTATTTGTCACAGTGCACCCTTTCAGAAAGCTGCTAAAATGAGATGTCATGTTGAAGTTTAATTCCAAACTTGCCCTCCCCCCCCAAACCTCCCCATCCATCCAGATGTAAGAGCCAGGGCACAGGTTTGAAACCCAGAGACCTGGGCTCTGGTGCCAGCCTGCAGGTCTCCTTTCCTGTACTTCCCGATTTTAGGATGCTCTGATCTGAACAGGCAAGGCTGAGGCTGAAGCGTCTACTTCCTTCCAGCCCCTACTGAAGTCTCACAGTTCATACAGACCAGCTTCCGGGAAATATTTCCAGGGAGTGTGGGAAATGCTTGGGAGTGGATCCCAGGTGAGCCAAGGCTGCTGCCCTAACACTGGCTGTGCCAGTAACGGGGCAAGCACCAGCGCCCACCACAACTTACCAAAGCTGTTTCCTCTTGCGCTTAAACTTGGCCCAAAAAAGCTTTCCTGCAGGAAGCTGTCAAAAGCATGGTAAACCACTGCTGTTACATTAGATCAGCTTCCAGCTTCTCTTCCTCCTTGCCTTCAGATCTTAATTTCAGCCCTTCTAACTGCAGGGAATGCGCTTCCTGTGCGACACCATCACAGAGTGCTGGGACCACGACCCCGAGGCTCGCCTCACCGCCCACTGCGTGGCCGAGCGCTTCAACCTGATGGCACAGATGGATTGCGACGATATCCTCAACAACAACACGGACAACGAGGCCAGCAAAACAGCTTCTCCAGGTGGGGAGCACCAGGACAGTGACAGCAGCAGAAACACACAGTGACACAGCAGGCAAAAAGCCTCATCACGAGAAACAAGAGGATAAGCGAGAAGCACTTAGCTCATCAGAAAAAACCTTGCTCCATTTTTCAAAATGGAACCAAGATCTAGTACATAACTTATTTATAAGATCTGTTTCCTCCCACAGATACGTGAACTGTGGAGTCAATACTTTGGTTGAAGTGCAACATTATATATGAACTGATTTTGTACTTACGTTAAATGTATAATGATGCAAAGCATTCCTTTTATTATTTTTTAAAATAATAATGTTTAATCTTTTACTAATAAGCTCCAGAATTCCATGTCTATCTTTTGAAGTCCTTCCACATTGCCATCGTAAGTTTATCTTCTAACTGCTTATTCTGCAGAGATCAAGAAAACTGTATATTTTCCTTTTTTAATGGCCTCCACACTCACTATAAAAAACAATAATCTGTTGTAGCGACATAAAAAAAAAAAGTCATCTTGAGATGTTACACACCCTCAGTGGAAAAAATGCTGGCACCCAAGAAAATTACTCATTGATCAGGCAGTCCCTAATATGGTATAATGATAGCCAATAATCTAGTTTGCAAAAGCCTGATTTGCTGCAACTCCAAGACACCTTTTTCACTGGGGAGTTCCTGGGTGTACTTGATAGTTCAAGTCAGGCATGAAGTTTCTTTGACAGAAAAAAACCCACCAGTGTAGGCACCAAGAAGTCTCCATGCAGGACATCTAGACAGCTCTTTCTCCGTAACAGTCCACTTTCCAGCCACTGTTACGCAACAGATTTGTGCCACAGCAATAGTGTCAGCATAAACATGTCGGCTAATTCTTCTTGTAACTCTTACGCACCCCTCTGCTGTGTTATCAACCCAAAGAGACACAACCAGGCTGAACCTGGAGCTTCAGTCCCGTAACCACCAGACCAAGCCAGGCTGCCTCTGCAATGGAAAGGCAATTAAGGAAAGGTAAGTCCTACCTCACTCTTGAACCTGGGCACTGAGCAAACTTTAATCCCTCCACCCTTGGGAGCAGAAGGTAACAAAAACCTTACCTGCTGCTAAGCCCATACCTGATACTCACCTACACAGAGGTATATCTTCCAGGATTGCATCAGAGAGGAACACTTTGCTTGCCAGCATGCAGCTGAGTGGATCAACCTTACAAGAGAGGGGACGGAAGGCTGTTTTGGTTTTCCAAAATGCGCAGCTATGACAGTACCAGTCCATACAAACTACTTTTCTCTTGCTATTGTTTCCTCTTCTTTGGACCATTTCCACAGCTCCTAACCTACCAGCCTGTAACAAAAATGCCTCTAAACCCTTCGTAGAAGGATGGAAGGAGAATGCATTAGGTTGCATCAAATCTAAATAATAAAAGCTTACTTCAGCTACCAGGTATAAGTCTCCACCCGCAACTGTGACCATACCTTTTACTCTCACCAATCCACTTGGCTGCTACCTCCTGTCATCTTAGGATTTTCCCTTTTCTCTTGCAGCTTATCCTCCCCAGTTCACCATAAACACACCCTTTCCCCCCACCTGACTTCAGTCTCATTTCTTTAATATATTAACCACTGCTCTACTGTATGTATACCCGAGAGAAACAGAGAGCATGGGGCAGCCTTTCTGACATGCAGATAAACTATGGGAACATACCAAAATCCCCCTGGGCTGTCCAATCTTTCCTTCCCGTGCAGAATTTCACCTACCAAGTTTTGCACTAAGTTGTTTGGATACAACACTGATTAATATTTACTTGATCTTCAAAGTTCAACTCAAGAAGCTTTGAAAGACACTCTGACGTGTTCTTCCCACAGGTGACTGGGTCCAGAGGGGGATAAGCACATGCAAACTAGACATTGAAGGCTGAATCTCCGATTCCGATAGCTAAAATCTGAATTCTCCTGGGGAGACAGACGCTTTATGCTAGGCTTGGCAGTTTATGCTGTCAATATACTGAAAACCTTCTCACTTTATTCCCCTCCCCATGCCTAAAATCTTGAACGCTCCAATCCATATATTGCATTTTTTTCCATGAAAACCAAGTCCAGAGTCAATCTTTTAGGATTATACACTGAATGCCTGTGTTAAATAGAAGTGACTTGTCACACACTCAGTTTTCCATGATCAGCAAGGTATGCAGCACTTCTGAAGAAAGCCACTTTATTTAACCTCCAAGATTTGTTTTTAACTCAGAGAGTCTAAAACCACAGAGATCAATACGAATTTTGCTCTTAGCTTCAGTGGAGCCCAATCAAACCAAAAAGACAGGGGGGAACATAAGGTGAAATCCTACATTTGCCACGCTCCTCGTTGAATACACTGTGGTTCTAGCAAATATCTACATAGGAAGCAGCAGTGAGCCCTTCTCTTCACTCCAGAAGGCACAAGATGGAAACAACAGCAGTTATGCGAGAGAATCGAAATCTGGTCAGAGTTAAAAATACCTCCATTAGTCCACAGCATGCTTGCAATTCTCAGAAGAATCACATAAATGTCTTACAATTTAAGCTGGACATTCAGTGGCTAGATTTTTTATTTTTAAACTGTTTTCAACTATGTTCTTTGTTTCTAGAAGTATCTAGAAGTTTGCATCATAACAAAATCCACATCAGGAACCCATTCCAGTTCTTGCGATCATTTCACCAAAGGCTTTACTTTTTTTTTTTTCCTAGCAGTACCCCCGTGTTAAAAGAAATCGTTTCATGTATTTTAAAAGACTACTTCTTCAGTGTTGGGTCTATTTTTACACAACAAAATTAGTAACAGCTTTCTTAGTGTGAAACCACAAGCATACCAGATGAGGGTGGAAGAGAAATATATTGACTAATAATATTATATAAGGAACACAAATGGGCTTATGGTCAACATGGGAGCTTTTCGGTCTGTTTTACAGCCATCGCCTTGACAAATTCCCAAATCAAAATTTTAAGCAGAGCTCAGTGACTGAGTCATAAGTCTATATCTTAATAAGCACAAGTTTGATCCCTGGAGTATGCTCAGCTGATAAAGGTTTGTTTTCTGCACTGATCGCTGCCATATTAAAAGCTGGATGTTGGACCACAGCCCTTGCTGTTTGTTTAAAGCAAATCTGACACGTGACACAGGTAGAACAACTCTGAAACATATACAGTGTTGTCAATTTATTTTCTGACCCTCTACCATCCCAGTTTGGTGCAGGTACCAATGAACCATGGAAGTTCACATGCTGGCACCATGATTCCGGCTCCAAATCCTGGAATTGGCCAACAAGCACAGCCCAAATGTGCTGCAGACCCAGAAACAAGGAGGAACTAATCCCACTGTTTTCATGTTTATTTTTGTTTCTGGTTAAATATGGAAGTGCCCAACAGATCCAGAACTAACACAACAGGGTGGTTGTATAGAATACCACAAACAAGACAGCAGGGCCTACAATGTTATTCTGCTGGAGAATATAGTTACTACCGAAGCGCACCATGCCAAAATATCCCACCATTAGGGGCCAAGGAAAGCCCAGACAGACAGATCTCCAGCATAAAAGACAAAACCAACCCACTCTTCCTGGTCATCTGATATCTAGGAAAGCAGACAGAACAAATGAATCATTTTGTAGTTTTATTACCCTCACCCCCACTTCTCACAAACGGACTATGACTCGCATTGAGATCTCAGTGCATTTTACAGAAAAAAAATGTTCAAGAGGATCCAAATAGTTGTGCATAAACCCAACTCCTTTTTTGCACAATTTGCAGTTTGTGTTGAAAGTTAAACATGGTTATTTGAACCTTCTGATGCATTCTTACACTTGTATCTTCTCCATGATCTTACCAGATCATACATTTGTGAGTTCTCATGATGCTGCATCAGGTGCAACCATTGCTGGGAAGTGGCAGATAATGTTATATACACTGACTGGAAGACTACATCAGAAGAAGAAGACAGATTAAGGCACCACTGTTGGAAAAATTAAGGTAGCTTGTAGTTACAACAATAACGAAAGCCATAATAATACTATTCTTAATTGCCAGCAATTCTTAGACTCCAATAGTTATATTAAAAAAAAAATAAAAAAAAAACAACAAAAAAAAAAAAAAAAACAAAAAAACACCAAAAAAGAGAAAAGTATGCTTGTACCTGAATACAGTTTCCTGATATCTGATTGTTTCAAATCAATACCCAGTCTTCAGCATAATCAGCTTTTTCTTTTTTTTTTTATGGTAAGATGAAAAGCCAGGACCTACATCCATGTATTCACAGGTCACATTTCACTGCTTTGTTCTGAATAACACCACAGGAGAAAAAAACCAAAACAATCCAAAGCAGTTTGTAACACTGATACTTCACCTCTGAGATGATTAGATGGGTAGACACACTGAAGTACAAAACTGTAAGTTTTCTGTTCATTTTGAAAGACTTAGTCCTCAGGAAGGGAAGGCGGAGGAGGAAAAAAAAAAGCCAAACTTCATTACGTTATATCATGAGAAAAACCAAAGTCACTCAAAGAGATTTAATAAAATTAGGAGTTGAAAAGTGTTCAAACTACTTTTCCAATTCAAGTCAATTATTTCAAGTATATTAAAATGTTTCAGAGGAAAAATTTCTCCATGGTTACAATTCTAATTGCTTTTATAAATCCATAAAAAAGAAAGGAAGTCTCTACATATATCCCATATTCCTCCAATGCATGCATGCGTTTTCTCTGAAGACAAAAAGTCATCATGATCCAGTTGTTTCTTAACACTGATTTCAGGCACATCTTCCAAATACCCCTTCAGTTTTCACCAAAAAGGTTAATCACTGGGCATAAAAGCAGCAATTTTTTGTTGCTGTTGTCTACATGGGTACTGAGCAGGTTTCAGTTATTAAAGAGCTTGATGCAGAGTCTGAATAAAGTTCCCATGTCACTCCAAAATCCCACAGTTCTTCTCCTCTGAGGCAGCTTTTGCAGTCAGATCTACTTAGAAGAATCTTACACAATTCAGATAAAATCTCTTGGATTATACAAAAACCAAGTTGTTCGAATGTACCTGGCAAGTTTGTCTCTATAGCTTCAATATTATCTTTTTTTTTTTTTTAATAGCTTTAAAGTGCCCTAGTATATTTATTTCTTTATGCTTATTTAAACTTTCACAATTACATAAAAAGGGGACACTCTGTGTGATTACTGTGTTTTGAGAAACAGAGGAAAAGGAGAGGAACATCAGAAAACTCATCTTAAAGCAGCTTTTCTAGTTAATGTCCGTTTGCTGAGTTTGTGCAGCACAGACTGTTTTCCAGAGGGGTTTATGATAAACCCAGCCATCTCCCTGCAATTTAAAGAGAAAATAGGGTTACAATAAAGACACCATCCTGGGAGAATTCCCTTCACACAACTATTAAACTGACAGCTGTGAAAATCAGTGGGACATAGCTTATACCTTTGACTCCCACTGATTAAGACAGAGACCAACACTGCAAGCTTCTGAGACTACTCCAGAACACGTATGGACTCTTGCCGAGCCACAGCACCCTCTGGGAATCAATTGCACTTGTAATTAACCCAGATGGAAAGCCACTCTTCTCAACTCCATGATGCAGATTACTTTAAAAAGCCAAATGAGAAGCCAGCAGAGGTGCAGCTATCCAGGATTGTCAGTTCTAACAGAGCTCAACTGCTTACCCAGAAATTAAGCAGCTCAGGATTACATTTAAACATTTTCTGAGTAGATCTGTATCTTGTGGTAGCAACAGAATTTCACCTCTTCTAAATCTCGATACTAACAATATAAATCTCTAATTCTGAGTTGGTAATACTAACATAGCTTTAGAGAACAAAAAACTTCACTGAAGCTAGCAGATAGTCCTGAACTATTTCGAAGTCATCATACTGGCAGTCCCCAGGCTTCCTGGGCAAGCTGCAGTTCACCTTGTTAAAAGTCTTAATGTATTATTATTACTACCATTACTGAATAGAGGTTAAGCCATCAAACAAATAAGCTCCATCCAAAATGTAACATACAAGAACAAAAAAAGTTTTAAGTTGAGAATGAACTCATGTTCCTTCATGCTAAAGGTACTATTTTGGGTTCATACACACACAACATAAGCAAAATTAGTCCTATTGATTATTTTCTTTGGGTATTTACCATTACAGTCTACTTACATGTATACATGTAAAGCTGTTTTCCATGTGCCACAAGGAAGTGCTTGGTAAGAGAAGCCAGACCACAAAACAGGCAAGCATTTTGTTGCAAGAGAATCACAAAATAAAAGTGTTTGGGAATTGAAGGGTAAAGTCACACCTTCACATGTTTGGGAGTGCTTATGTCACCTTACTGCTACAGATTCCATGGAGCTAAACTGTGAGATCTAAGGCCAAATACTCTATTCTGACAGGACACAGACTCATACTACCATGAAAGCACCTGCTTTCATTGTAGTTCCACCTTCATGATCAGCCAACTGCTTGGGAACTTACTTCTTTAAGGAAGTATTTAGTACACCAGGGTGTTTCTGTTTCAGTACGAAGCCTCTCTTCGTTCCTCTGTCGTTCTTCAAGGGCTCGCTTGTGCTCTGTAGCCTTATCAATGTCTCCATCCCGCAGAGACTCTGTTACATGCTGCCACAGCTTCCTACAAAACAAATTATTAACTACTTTCAAAAAGTTTTCTCAGTCTGCCACCTCAAACTACAGGACTGCCTCATGCAGTTCTTTCACAACAGCAGCACTCCCTCCAGTTATACATGACAAACCAACCCAGGTAGGAGCATGATGGTGCAGCGCATGTGGAAGGGCTCACAGCTAAGTCTTACAGCTGCACTAGCAATTAGGAGCTGACAGAAATCGCTCTGAGGTTTTGGCTGTGCCAATCTACGTCTGTTCGTATACCCTGTAAAGTTGTTATGGAAGTGTTATTCAACAAGCAGTTCCTTGTGAGGACTTCCCTTGTCAGGAGCTGCCCAACTATGTAAGCATTTTCCACAAAGGAAATCCTGAAAATGTAGATATTCTAAGGCATTTACCAGACTGTCTAGGACAAAAAGGGTCAGACAATAGTAACCACATACTCTACCTAGATTCAAATGGTCCTTGTTTCTCAAGGGGCCGGACTCGTTTTCTAGTCACCGACAGCTTTGTCAAGTCCACGTATTTTGTCTCCCCGTTGCTGTAGGTGAACTCAAGTACGCTGTTCCACTCCCCCTGCACTCTGCACACCACTGTGTTCGTCGTGTTCTGCTTCACTTCACCTGTGACTCTAGGAAAGAAATTTCTTTTTTAAAGGCCATGGCTGAAGACACCCAAGTACTATTTCCTGCATAATCATTCAACTTTAACTCTGAATGAGTTTGCAAGCTTGTCACACTGTCTTGAAAGATGTTGGTTACTTGAACTGCATTTGTATGGAGAAGCTCACAGAGCGAAGTGACTTTCACTCATTGCTATAGCTCTCTTCACGTTACCCAGGAAACTCTTTTTGGCTTCAGTTTAAACTTGTTTCAAACCTTTTAAACAGAACTGAAAATGGGAAAGAAACTAACACAGACTGGTTCACATGTAACAAGCAGTTGATCTTTTCCACATGAAACATCAGATACATAGCTCAGACTTAAAAATTTAAAATTAAACTTTCTATCAAGAATGTATCTCACTACCTGCTGATACCCTCTCTCATCTTCACATTTCAATGTTCTCCATATGTAGGTGGTCTCACTCTTATGTTCCTCACATAAGCAGCAGACACACGAAGGCAAAAAGCAAGGTAGGAAACTAGGAATCAGGAAAACTGCTTTTCTTTCCTGTCTCTTCCACAGAAACCTCTGCCAATAACAAGATACTAAAAACGTCTTTCTCATAAGTAGTATTTTATTCAAGTGTTGCACTGGTACTCAAGTATCACCATAATTACACTTACTGATGCATATTTTCCTCCTCAACATCAAGACCTGTCCAAAGACCTCCTGACATTCACTTCATCCTGAATCAAGGAATAGAAGCTTACTGAGCATTGCTAGGCAAGCAAAGGGTCTGCACACTATGCAAAAGCAAGACTTAAGACATCCACTTGTAAGGTGCTGCAGGATTCAGAAAGGACACTATCTCCATCTCCAATTAAACTGCAGCTACCTGTACGCAAGCTCTCTAAAACACTCTCTAGCTCTCCTTCCCACATTTTAACATTGCTAACACAAAGTACATGTTACATCTCCTTTGACACTTACATTGTGTGCAGCTAATAACAGCCAACTTGCACATCTCTGGTTTGCTCATATTTCCTTCGAACAACTGCATACAGATGAGCAGAAAGCAGCACTCCTGTGCTCCCACCTTGCCCATACTGGCTATGAGGTGCCATATTCAGAGGAAGAACGGAGTACAGGACATGTAGATGCCACTTCCCTTCTTATACATGCACCAGTCACTTCCAGCTGCGTCTGCATCTATCCATGTCACGCCCCCCCCAAGCCTGGCATTTGTTTTGATGCAATGTGTTTGATGAGAAATTAATTTCTGAGGAAACAGAACAAGTATCACAGACCAGACCTTCCAGCATAGAGATGCCAGTCAAATCAGACCTGTGGGGAAACCCCGGGGCAAGTGGGGAAAGCTCGCAACCAGCTCGAAGCAGGAGGCAGCAGCCAGGGCTTCTGACATATCTTGCACATAGGGAGGTGGCTGGAGCTGCATCAAGGTCCAGCAGCTCAAACCTGATCTAACTTCATTAGGGAGATCTTCCAGAAAAACCAGACTGATAAGTATGTGCTGCTCACATACAGTTTTCTATTACAAAAATTAAAGATTTATTCAAGAAAACAGGCCAGAGTTGGAGCAACATGAATAATAAAAGCACGTTTACATTAAATTATTAAGGTGGGGTTGAACAAGCACTAATGGTTTCTGAAAACAACTGAGAGAATAGGCAGCAAGCAAGCAGTCATCATTTTGTGCTGCTTTTTCATCCTGTGACTTCCACACTTCACTGAAGCTATTACACATGGTGGAGTCTCTGTCCTTTCCCCCAGGAGATCTCTGAATGGACTGAATCTGTGGGATGCCAGAGACCAACCTGTTCAGACTTCGCAGTTACATCATCTTCCCAACTTTAAGAGCTTAATTTTTCCAAGCACTGTGTGGAAAAGCACCCAATATTTTAATACCAAGCACAGAATCACTGTCTCTGCTCAGCTTAAAATAAACGGTTATATCGCTCACTGCTAAGGTATGGTATTGAGCTGCTACATTAAACTCATCGCAACTTGTATTTCTTCAGGTTGCATTGCTCTGTGACACACAGCCATTCTCAGCACTGCAGATCACAGTATCTGCCTGAACTAATATTAGTGACAAAAATCGCCCAGCACTTATTTGTAAGCTTGGCATGACTGATGTATGCCTAGCTGTTTGTAATCATCATCCTCTATTTCATCAAGCTAAAGAGGTACAGGACCAAGGAGCAAATATCCAGCTGAGGTCTAACAACACGGGTCACACTACCAAAAAAAAAAAAATCTATAACATTGCCATAGCAACTCACTTGCGCTCTGTGTAACCATGACAACACTGCTGCTTCCCCATCAAGAGATTCTTTTGGCCATGTCCAATCATCACTGTGTCAAATTTCCAATAGCTACAGTACCTTGAACAGATCTCTCTTTAAAAAGCTTCTACATCTGTGACTAATTTCAGAAACACACAAAGTATTTTCCAGAATTAAATCATTGAAGTAAAATTGCTTCTTATCACTTATTTTTTATGGTACAACAGGAGCTACTGCAAGGTGGAAAATACACTGTAAGCAATGGAGGAAAAAAGTCTCAAATGATGCATCACTTTAAAATTGTCAGAAGTGAAAAGCTGCATGCAAGCTTCAGTTCTGCAGATGCCATCAAGACAGGGAGCTATGCTTACAGGTTAAGTTCAAAGTATGTATGGGAATTTATAGGGCAAAGCACTTCAAGATGGAGGTTTTGGTGGTTTGGTTTTTTGTTTGTTTTCTTTTAAGCAATAAATATGACCTTACCCTACCGTCTCACGAAAAGTGAGTTAGAGAAGACTGCTGATTTTTTGCAACCTGTGAGAGCAACCCACGTTTAAGAAGTTCTGATGTTCTAAGCTGTTCAGCCTGGAGAAGAGAAGGCTGCGTGGAGACCTCACAGCAGCCTTCCAGTATCTGAAGGGGGCCTACAAGGATGCTGGGGAGGGACTCTTCATTAGGGACTCTAGTGGTAGGGCAAGGGGTAATGGCTTTAAACTTAAACAGGGGAAGTTTAGGTTAGATATAAGGAAGAAGTTCTTCACAGTGAGGGTGGTGAGGCACTGGAATAGGTTGCCCAAGGAAGTTGTGAATGCTCCAACCCTGGAGGAGTTTAAGGCCAGGCTGGACAGAGCCTTGGGCGACATAGTTTAGTGTGTGGTGTCCCTGCTCATGGCAGGGGGGTTGGAACTAGATGATCTTAAGGGCCTTTCCAACCCTAACTATTCTATGATTCTATGATTCTATGATATTTCATTATTATCTCTAATGCATTTAATCTAAGGTTTAAACGTTGTCTAGTAAATGTATGAGTGCAAAATGCTCTGGAATCAGATATTCTTTGTGTGACTCCTACTTAATTTTCTCTTTCCTCAATTGTCTCTATAATAGCACAAGGCTAATCTGTAGCAGTCTTACTACAAGATGTCCAAAATCATCAATGTTGGTGAGTTTCTAAAGCTTTTGCACCAAGTGTGCCAACACTTCCTAGAATCTGCTAGAAGTAACTAAAAGCAAACTATCCCTGGATCTTTTTATTTTTACCTCTTAGTTTTTAACCATGCATACATACGAAGAATTACCACTACAAGAACTGCCATTTTTGCCTTTAGAAAAAGTTATTTTTACCTAGAGATTTTCTGTAAGTTACTTACACTTGATAGTCTTATGTTTCTCATACAGAAATCCTAAGACCAGTAAGTAACAGAAGACCATTTACTAACGATCCCCGCAGTGCAACTACAATGCACTGTGAACAAACCGCAATGTTTAAGACAGCAATACCAACTTCAACTTGAACAAAGAGCAAATCCAAAACCAGGAAACACTAACCAACTTCTAACAGGACTAAGAGAATCTGTAGCAACCAGAAGCTCTGCTTTCCCAGTGGTTTGAACGCAGAGTCAGACAAACATAGAATTTCCTTACTATCTTTAAATACGACCTCCTCCTGTGTGTTTAAGACCTGATGTTTAAGAGCACAGTAATACCTCAAATATTTATAAACAGGAAAACCTACATTTTCTCAGACTATCAAACAAGTAATATTCAACACAGAACAGGTGAGTTACACAGATACTACAGTTCTAGACCACAGGCTACTAGTAAAAAAGAGCAGGGGTGGGGAAAAAAAAAGCATTCTCACCGATGCAATTTGCCACCATAGAAGGGCTTGGTGTGAAAGTTAATACTTGCAGAATACCCAGTTTTCACACAGTTAATGTTGACTTTTCCTCCCAGTTCTACCCAGGGAACAGTTAAAATTGACCGAGCATACGCACAGGGCAGAGAGAACGTGTATTCTTCCCCATGTTCCAGGAGACTTAAGAGACCTGTGTGAAGAAATACAAGAATCTCTAAATCAACGCTATTTCAGAAAAGACCAAATGAGTTATTGAAACTGATAGCTAATACTACATCTGATAGTACATCTGAGTGCTTTTCCTTACAGCCTCTCACACCAAAAAGGAGAGAAAAAAAAAAAAAGCCACAAAAGTGGCATTTATTACAGGTTCTGGATACATTTTCCTGAAAGTACTAACCTGACTAACATGCATTTCTGTTTCTTTTGGGAAGAGACACTTATCCTAATAATATTGCTCCATGAAGTACGATACTGTGCTGCACATCATACTTTCCAGTAGTATGTAAAAGGGCTGGACACTCTCTTATTGATGATTCTGGAGCACTGCAACAGAGGACTTAGGAAAGTCTGACAAAATAAGTACGGAATGAATACCCTGCACTGCAGATCCTGGGGAAGGCTAATGCTCCTTTTCTGTTTTCCCTCCCAGTAATACATCTTACCCTATCTGAAGGCAGGCAGCAGAAACAATTGCACCTCTCCGCCAAGATAAACCCAACTCTTTCCTGACAGTAGCTTTTGCAATAAATGTCAAGAACATCATAAAACACTAGATTTTTTCTTTGAGTATGGGTTTGTTTCATTCCTGTTAAAAACAAGAAAACCCCAAACAGACAGACAACAAAAAACCCCACAAAATCTACCTCTTGCCCTTACAAAAACACATGACAACTGCTGCCTCCATCAGCCCATGTCTCTGTAGCATATTATCTCTGTGTGTTTGACATCAGTATGGAAATCATGAGAAATTCTGAAAAGATATGACATGATTTGAGAAATGCCCTAGAGGAGATACTAACTTCAGAATTTACCTGGAACAGCCAAAGCACTGAGATGTGCCTTCCCCATCCCCTGCCATGCTCATTCCCTTGTCCATAGTTGGCACGCCATAATTCAATAATAATTTTATGTTATAATTTTATATATATTATTAATAAACCTTAGTTTATATGCAAGTGCCTGGAATCCCTAGTTACTGGGCAATACACACAGAGGACACAGAAGGGGACATGCTGTCTCATCTCTTGCAGTAAATACTAGTATTAAAGGGAAATTGCAGCTTAAGAGCAGTTACCCTTCTCTGTCCCTAAAGGATTCAATTTCTCTAGTTAAAAGAAAATTAAAACTTGCATAGTAAGATACATTAAGTGCAATACATGAAATCACACTTCTATTTAATCAATGTCTGATGCAAATTAATCTGTCTGATGCTTTGGAACATTAATACATATCAGTTAACATCACAGCAACTGCCCTTTGGTTTAAAAGTCAAAATTTTATCTCCTGATTTTTGGCAAAGCATAAACCTTCTGTTCCCCCATGTGAAAACTTACTGTTTATGCTTTTCTACTACTAATCCAAGAAGGACTTGTAGTACCTCCTGTACTTTGTAAACAGTAAAATAAATAAGTAAAATAAGAAAATAAAATAAGAAATGATTGTACATTAAAGCTTGCAGATAACAGAAGAAATCCAGAAGTACAGGAAAAGAAAATAATCTGAAAACCCAATGACATTTTCTGCAGGCAGATTTTTTTTTAAAGCCTTTGAAACAAAACTACTGAGTAATATTCATCTGTATTTCTGTCAGAGGAATGCAACATCAAATTTCCTATCAAACTAATAATATTTTAACAACCTTCTGAAACGAATAAAGGAAAGAAGTTAATTATACTTACCCTCACCAATCATCGTCACTCCTATTGACATTCCTAAGAATTTACTTTTTGTCCAGACGTGGGCATTAACACACATCTTTCTCTCTGCACATTCAGCATAAAACCCTGAGACAGGAGGATGGTGGGACACTTGCTCGGCTACAAATTTTACTGTATAGTAGTCCAGCTCTGTTTGGCCCTCCGTATCTTTAGACAGAGTTACTTGCTCTGAGGGGGAGTGAGCAGAGAAGTTACTGCCAGCCTCAGTGGCTACATCGCTCTTCGGTATCCTCCAGGAACAGTGAAATGTTTCCCCAATGATTGGATTGTATGGTTTCTTTGCAATAGCTCCCTTGCGACCTTCATGAAACGAAGTGAGATAATACTCAACAAAGCGGATCATCCTCTCCTCAGGGGTAGTGCCATTTGTGATTGCAATGAAGAGATCTGGATGGGACATGAAGTCCGCATACATCTCCAGCAACGATCGCTTCTCTAAAATAAAAGTGGGAAGAACCACCTGCAGCAAAAGAAAACCCAGAAAACTCTAGTAAGGAGAAAGGCATTTTAATAAGGAAAGTTCTCAGGTGGAGGATTCTGTCCTATTTTAGGCACCACATTTTCAGACAGAACTTTCTTGTCCCTCTTATAAGATATGAGTAAAATACAGTAATCAGAGGTCCCAGAAAAGCAATTTAAAAGGAGAAAAAAGCCCAATAAGTACTATTAGGACTAAGGAGGTTGAAAGGGACTGAGTATCCCTCAAAAAACATAAAAGAGCTGCAAAGAGATTATAATGTGTCCCATATTATCTGCAGAGAAGATAAACAAGCAGGAAGGAGCTGAAACTATAACAAGGAAGGTTCAGAGCAGAGGTTAGGAAAGGCTTTGTCTAATGGAGAGAAAAGCAGAGAAGCTATGCCAGTGCAGTTGAGAGCCTGTAGAGTCTCTCACCACAGCAACTACGACACGCATCGCTAAGAAATAACATAGTATAGGTTGATCCTGTACCTCTGAGCAGACAACCTTACACTTTCCCAGTTACATCCACCTCTATAAAAAACAGCAGTCGTTTTTTGCTGGGCCAAGACAATACTGCAGAGTAAAATGCTGTGGGTATCATCAGTCTTACCTTTCCCTATAGCAGCAACTAAAACCTCATGTAGCTAACCGTTGTAAAGAGCAACACAGGGTGTCTGAACCATGGGATCACAAAAGTCTATTTAAATCAGCTGCACTCAGACAGGTAAAGCACAGACTTAAGACTCCTAAGAAACATAAAAGTTAAGCTGAATATGCTTGCCATGTTGTTGCAGCACCAACCTGGAATATTAAAGTTGCTTTTCACTTCAGTTAAGTGCAATTCTAACAACTTCATTACCTGTTTTGAAGTCAAGCTTGTCCCATTTCAATGCTTTGCCTGCTCTGAACTAAAGACAATGCTACACACACAGCCAAAAGTTGCAACTGGGGGACAGAAATGACAATTTCTCCAACTAAGAGAAAACGATACCCCAAATCTATCTATCTTCAACAGAAGTGAAATAATGACTTAATGAATTCTTGATTAAGCAGCAGGCGTTTAAGTTTAGCTCACAGGCAACACGGCCTGTTCAAGCTACCTTTCCTGCTACTCACCCCCAAACTGTGAAATGTAAGCTCCACAGTAAAAGTGTTCCTAGAGGCCTAGGAGCTAGAGCTCAAAAACACATAGCTGGAGAAAAAAAATTGTAATTCATAATTCCAAGAATGAGAGCGCTTTCCTCACTCCATACTACTGTAAAATCCAGTTTTTCCTTATTAGTGTCTAGTGCTTATGGTAAGAAATCTTCACAGAACTGAATATAAACTGGTAGCAACCTAATTTTCCCAAATTTCCTGCCCAAGTTGTCTAGTAGCAACTGAGCATTAATTTTTTCAAAGCTGCTTCCTTTTGAGATTGGCACACAAGCGTCAAACCCAATTCTCTCCACTATAACTTTGTTCCTGCTTGCTACAGCTGTGAGCAAACAGAAATGAGAATAGGACGAAGAGGTGTCAACAGACATCTGAGGACAGATAATGGGGAACTAAAGGAAAATTTCTTTTCAGAAGCAGCATGAATACAGATATAGGGTTATGCAAGTTGCACACAAAAGCATTATTGAGAGAAAAAAAGATTATGGAAGGAAATCAGAAAGCCAAAAATATGAGAATACTGCAGAAAACTATGTGCAAAGAATAAGTTGCAAACACTGGAAAGAAAAGGGACCATTACGGGAAAGCCAACAAAAACACAGTGGAAAACCCAAAAAGAATGTAATAGAAAAGGCCGGCCAGTTTCACTAAAGAAAATCCACTCCCTTATCACATTTCACTTAAAACCTGCCTCAAATGTAGACACCGGATCTTGGGACCAGAAGTTGCTACAAACCACTATTTCATATTAAACTCAATATTGTTCAGTACAGGAGTTGACTTTAAAATGGCACTTCACTTTTACTGCAGCCAGTCTTCACACTTCAGCTACTTACTCTTGTTAAGTCCATGCCAAGTTTCAGCTGAGACAAGAGATGCAGGATAACACTACGCTGTTCTTCCACCGCTCCAAGATCATCTTCTTTATTATCACAGATATCCTCCAGCTCCTCATCTGGATTTATTTCTTCAGGTTCCTGGGATAAAAGCCACAAATATCAGTTCAAAGATGTGACTGGCCAGACAATATGCAATATTTAACTGTCCATGTATTAAAAATAAAAGACTAAATAAACCCCTGCAGAGCGCTACACAATGGAACCTACTGCCAAGGTAAACAACAGTTGAAAAATTGAAAGGAACATTAAAATAACTCAGTGCAGATTTCATCTAGAGGATTCATGCTAAGATTTCTGACCATCTCTCATGTCGGTTGAGGCAGGGAGGGAAGCTTAAAAGCAAATATGACCCATTTTCCTGTAAGTTTTGTGACCTAACAGAATAGCTAGCCTCTAACACGCAAAACTAGCAAAGTAAGATCTAGCAGAGATTCCAGCCACTTCAGTAACACTCCTCCAATTCCACATCACTTCAAGCTTTCGAGTGTTGCCACACTCACTTCAAAGGCTGTAGCAAATGGTAGTTCCTAGTTACTTGCTTACTGTCATGCCTAATGACAAACAATTAATGTACCTACAGGCCAGTCTTCACAAGCATTATCAATGTTGCTGCTAGTGCTGACACGTAACAGTAAAGGAAAAAGGAAAAGTAACTTGGAGTAGTTTTATAAAACATTAACGAAAAAAATCTCACGTTCATCACAACGCTGGTTTTCTGTTAGCATAACTAAAGCACCCAGACAGACCAGCAGAAATTGTCTTAGCACCATTTTGACAATCACAACCCCACAAGTATCATTTTAACAACCATCATGCTACAAGGAGAAAGTCGAACGCTTCAGGTGGAAAGGATTGTGGTACTTCTAGGGCTCTGAGCAGCATCCTCCTGGGGCATACAGAGGACAGAGCCACTGAATGCCACCGGAGGGCAGCAATATGCATCTGCCTAAGCAAAGCCCTTTATCCTGCAACAGCTGCTCAAGCTCAAGGCAAATTTATGAATGCTCAACCACCAAAGCCAGGTGGCCAAGCCCTCACATAGAGCTCAAATCCTGGTGAAAAAAACAGTTATCACACTGGTGACACCTCTCCAAGGATGTTACAGTATTCTGCTATCATAAATAAGGAAGCCGAAAGTATCTAAGGGGAGAGATAAGACTAGTCATATCCCAAATACATTAAGCTCTTGAACTATAACTCATGTAATCATTGGAAGAAGGAAGGAATTAAGTGATTTTTAAACTCCTGGTTTGTTTCTTTTTTTTTTTTTATGTAGCAACCACTCTGATCCATTTTATAATCTATAAACTACATGCAACTGAAAAAAAAAAATCCTTTCAATTTTGATTTTGCTAGAAGATAGTACACGGCTGTTGCAACCATAAAACAGTACATTATCTTTTCACAAAGATAGTCTCATCCAAACAACTGTGTGAAACCAACTAGTATAAAAAGAATGTAATTATGATTTACTAGCTTAGCTAGGAAAACACATTCTTCACCATAATCCCTGCTGGTTTTTTTTACTTCAGTATACTGCACTTCAATTTTGACAGTTATGATGCAGACTCTAGCTGTATTTCAAATACATTAAGCCATCCTGAAGTCAAGTGATGACAGTAGCTCAGATTAAGAAAAACAGATGCAGCAAGAGCTAGAAAAGAAAGATGGGGAGATTTAATAGCTGGAGACTGACAATTGTGTCTTTCATCTGCTTAGACAGTTCTTCTTGGGCCTATTTTGAGAGAGCCATGAATTCTAGTTAGGTTTTTTGTGCTTCAATATCTACTTGGTTTAGATCAAAATGCAAGGTAATACTGCCTAATCCAACACTTTGCACTGCCATCCCAATTGCCTCCCTCCACTTGACAGCTAGTTACAGAAAGCAGCAAAAATTTATTGAAAAAGCAGGTAGAAAGTTTAATTTACTGCAACTGTGCTCACTCCTTCTCTGACACAGCTAATCAGAAAGCATGAGAAAAATTGTCACTAAATCATTTTCACATAATATGAAACATTTACAGATATTCTTCAAAATAATTCCCCACAGAAATGGGATATTCACATTACCTTACCCTTGTTAGCTGGCAGGGCTCTGCAGTGGACTGCTCTTCTCTGACAGATGCTGGCTTGTTTACCTCTGCTGGGAAATTCTGAGCTGCTCCATTTTTGAAGTGGTTTGCCAGTGATATCTTAGGTTCCAACCAACTGATCGTTGTTCCTGAAGCAAAAGAAACTTTGCGCTGAAACTTGCTCATCCTCTGGAAGGTCAGTAAACAGCAGTTTTCACAAAAGAGCTATTTTTTAAGGAATAAGCTGAAAGCAGCCAATTCCTCCTGCAGCCAATCCCTTCAGCAGCCACTAAACAAAGGTGGTGCAATGAGACACCACCTTCAGTGATCATTAGCACAAACACTGCGATTGGTGAGCTGTAATACATGCAACTTGGACTGGAGAAACTAGTTGGTGTCATGAAAGGTGTAATCAGATACTACAGGATGAGCCTAGTATAACAGGAATGTTAAGTAACCCTTACAATTTTCTTTAACTGGTACCAAAAAAGCAGCCCACCACTTATCAGGTTCTCAAACCCAGCTTGGTTCTAGACTAAGAAGAGCTAAAGTTTTGTTGCCAATGTTTTCTCTGGAGCAGGTACTGGCTTATTCTCAGCTGCAAAAGAAGCAAGCACACGCTGTTGAATAAATAATGCTTGCTAAAAAAAAAAACAAAAAAAACCAAACAAATAAAGCTGCCAGGCTTGGACTTGGAATGCTATTACCCAACTTGATGATTCCAGCATCTCTGGTTACTCCCAGCTTATTTATCAGAGCAGATCAGGTTCCTCATTAATAATACAAATGTTCCATTCTTTTTCAAAGGCTAATAAATGTATAGGGCACTCCAACAAGTTTTTACAGAAGAAAACACAAATAGACTATCTTGGATGTGTTGCAAACACAGAAACTACAAGGAAATCTGAATTTCTACCATCACACAGAAGTTTCCTGTGTCTCAGAATGGACACTGAAGTGTCTGCTGTTTCTTCCTATACAATACACAATCCTTTATTTCCAGACCTCTATTACCTGGAACTAGGTCACATAGAATCATAGAATGGTTTGGGTTGGAAAGGACCTTAAGATCATCTAGTTCCAACCCCCCTGCCATGGGCAGGGACGCCTCACACTGGTCTACGTCACCCAAGGCCTTGTCCAACCTGGCCTTGAACCCTCAACCACAACAGGCAGAGTGAGTTTAATGCAGCAGCATTTCCACCAGGAAAATAATGTGGCAACAAAAGTCCAGCTTTACTAATGGGACAAGACAACCTTTTCCTGCAGCAAGACAGTTCATTTTCATCAAGTGCATTACTCACGAATCCATTACATAGTAAGAAACAAGAATCCCTCAGCAGTTGAAGCTATTTAAACAGAAGTTTTGAAGAAGTAAAAAAATAAGATGCTCAATGTCACTGTCACGCTTACCTTTTCGTAACAGTTTTACTCAGCTTTAAAATCTCTTCATGACACTTGCTTTCCAAGCTGTAACTTTCAACACAATAATCTCCAATTGCATGTTCTAGGCTGCATTAAATCCACACTCACTACGCCTATATTAGCTTGAATTTAACAAGTAGCTTCCCTTTTATACTCCCTATCAGCTACTTCTAAAATAACCTTATTATTAAGTTCTGTTTAAGTTTGGCTGTTAAATTCTAGGAGATTTAAGTGATTTGAGCTACCAGTTGTGTTTTAATATTTGTGAGTGGACAGGATACCCGATTAATACTTCTATTCAAAGGAAGATCATATTCAAATCTGCTCTTGACTATTTGGGGTAGGCACAAGCTATTCTCTTTACTAGCGATCTCCTCTCCTAGAATTTTTCCCCCATCTGTTTCCTTAAGCAGTTGCCAGCACTCTCCCTCTGCTACACCACAGACCTCGCCTCGCAGTGTCTATCATCTTCGCTTTCAACATTTTTCCCCTCAAGAGTTGTAAACCGTTGTTGCAATTCACAACATTACCAATAATAGCAAAGTTTTGTTTTGTTTTTTAATCTGTAATATTTCACCACTTTCCACTTGAATTTAGGAGAAGTTAATAGCTGCAACTTCCATTTTCTTTAAGTCTGTGATTTATAGTGCACCTTGATGCAGCTGGGGAAGTATGTTTTTTTGTCTTCTAACAATTTATAGCAAACTTACACTTTTATCTTTTACAATCCTTGGTTTTTAAGCCTGACAAGCATCTGCCTGACACGTTTTTAGCAGTCAAGTACCAAGTTAACAGACCCAAAAATTTTTTCTCCACCTCATGTTTAAATCTATGATGTTAGACAAGTCTCCTCTTCATCGCTTTTCGCTGCACACCACTTGTATCTAGCTGAAGTATACTGATCTGCCCTTATGATCCTAGGAGGATTCAACAGCATTTTTATATGTTTTATTTGATAGAACAGTCTGCATTCAACATTTTTTCCTACACTTAAATATAGAAATGCCTCCTGTAGCATTTGAATTAAGCCACAAGACTTTTCCTTCCTGTATGAACTTCTGAAGCCTACCAAAAATACTCCATCATTAAGCCAGAAGGAGAAGGATCACTCTTTAGTCAGAAGGAGAAATCTAAGCTAACTGAATTTAAAACAGAGTCCTTTGCAATCCTTCAAAGGAACAAATCTACTATGGTTTCTCTAGAAAAGCTACACCAGTGGGACAAAGGAAGGCTGCAGAAAGACACGTGCATTATTTCAATGGTCTGGTTTTAACTGTGGCCCCAGTAATTCACCATCCAATCTGCTGCTCTTCCCCTCTCCATCCATCTCTCTAAGATGTCACCAGAAATCTTCAAGATTTTGACATCTTCAAGCAATGTTTTTAGATATGGTCATTAAGAAGCAGATACCAACTGAAAAGCAGTCAGATGAACTGAGTTTTTCCCTGCACAGCTTAAAGAAATGTAAAAAGCAACAAAACACACACAAAAATATCTTATTTGTAAGTTATTACAGTGCTCACTGGACCCTTCTTATTTCCCAAAAACAGTAATGGATTAAAAAAACTCACCTTAGCAGCACACATGTAAAAATGTCAAACCAGAAAGACTTCTGATGTGCACTTCCCACAGTTATGCATCAACAGTTTAAATAAAAAATCAGAGGGAATCGGACGAGGTATTTCAATGTGAGAACCTTCAGCATTTAGACAAAGATTTGGAGAGGTTCCACCCAGTTTTTCATTTTTAAAATTACATTTTGAACTTAAATACAGCAAAAAAGTTGATTCATCCTACTCACATACTCTCTTTTAATGCATGTGTCAATTTTTATATTTTTATATAGTTTTAATACTCTTATACAAAATATTTTTTCATCTTAGAAGCTAAACCAATTACAGGTCTGAGATAACATGCACTGGCAAAGCACGTACCACAAGTATGAGAGGAATATGGGAAAGATAAAGTAAGAGACAACTTTTGAGCGTAGTTTGCTACAGACTTACCGTATCTATCATATCTGTTGTGTATTTGAGAATCCTCAAAAGCTTTTCGTTTGCAAAAAGCCACAAAGTAAACACATGAAAAAAGTCAAAGTAAGATACAAAAGAATTTACAATCAGGAAAGAACACATTCAGTTCCATACACTGCACACTAATTAGTGGAACGATGCTGGTAAGCACCTACTTGCACAGACGTGATCAATTGCACTGAGTTAGCAACGTATTTGTTTGCTGTCTGTGAATTCATGTTATTTCGCACCCATTAGCAGTAGGCATTGGGGTTGGCTGTTAAAGTATTCTGTTGGTTTGGGATTTCTGTGTATTTTTTGATGTGCTTTTGGGGTTGTTAGATTTGTTTGAAGTTTTTTTGCCTTTTGCAGCCCCTTTTTTTTATTTGTATCTTTGAGCAATTTGCATTTGCCTACAAGTCTGTTCTGGCCTCAGAATGGAATGCAACACTTAGTCCATGTTTTAAACTGGGATGTTAACTCAGAATGAGAATACTGATATATAAAAAGTATTAATAATAACCTGTGCAAACGTAGGGCTTTGTATTTTAATACTTAACAAGAAATGAAAGCTATACACGTGTGAATGCTTATAGTAGGTATCTAGTGTGTAAAAAGAGTCAGAAAACCATGACACCTGACAGAGCTGTACTGGACACCACATACCCCAGGATATGCAATCCCCTAACATTTCCTCGTTCCTATTACTGTTCTTGAGTGGCCAGTTACATCACAAAAGCAGCCGCCTTCTTGTGGTGCCTTAAGTACTTTATTCTGTTGCGAGATGCTCCACAACAATTAGATGCTTCATTTATGCAGCTGCTGCCACACCCCTCTTGATAGAATAAATGATTAAAAAATTACAACATGCATGGAGTTTTACCCAACACTAGCAAGTCAGACTCTGGAAAAACTCACAACAAACCACACAGCTGGCAGTTCTCTCTGCCCGTGTGAAACTGGAGTGGAACAAGCAATTGTGCAAGAAGGAAAGGATGCATATTTGTTGCAGAGTTTTCCTCTTTGTAAGCATCTATACCCACCTGCTGGTAAGGATCCTTTCTGCTGAGAAGCATGTTGTAACTGGAGAATATGGAAACAGTCATTTAAGCAGTTCATAGTTGCCATGGAAGTTGCTTTGAGCATTAATAGGTCTTGATCCAAGGATGTAAGGTGACCAGAGACAGGAAGGCATTCTATGCTCCTGATCAAGTCTCTCTGCTGGCCCTCAGCCTGAGACATCATCTGTCAAACAAAGCAGTCATTTATCAGGTGATGGAAGTGTGTTGTGTGATACAAGGTTAGCTGTGCACAGAGAATCCCAAGTGATTTTATGAGGATAATAAAACTGTAAGATAAAAGATGTATGTAAAGATAACTGCACTTTTTTTCTTGATGCAGCTACTAAAGAGTCATTAAATGCATGATGAAATTCCCATGGCAATACATGGTATCTTGTTAACAAGCCAACGAATATCGAAGTGTCTTAAAAAAAAACATAAAAAAAAAAGGCAAAGAGGAATTTGAATATATCTGCTGCAGTGAATATCAAACATTTTCATGCCTG